ATTATTGATATTATTGATGTGCATCTAGTATTGAGCGTCGTGTCCGTAATTTGTCGAGTATTTATTGTGCACGCATAATTCCGTATTTTAGACATATATGAGACATGATACGTGCGAACGCAGACATGTACGTACTTTAATAATCATGGTCAAATATTTGGTAGCACCTATCTATACCTATCTAGAATACAAGGACGTGAACCTGAGCATGCTACGATACGTGTAAATGTGTTTGTGTATGGAAGTTTTACTGGAAAGCATTTAATTATAAACACATATCCTGCATACAAAATCTTTACTCGCTATGGAAAAGCCGAAACACATAAGCTCAGTGCGAAAATAGACAGGTGTGTACTTTTGCAGAAAAGTATTCCCAGAACCTGCTGAAGCCTTAATAATTTGTATCTAGAAGTAATAGTGAATAGTAGGAAGATAAAAAATGATGAGCTTATTAGTGCAATGTGTTGGTACGGGGATTGGTTACCGCGAAGGTCACAGCGAACCTGACACAAGTGTACATCAACCATTCCTGTGCTATGCGTGAATGTATACCTCCACTACACGGCCCTCTGGATCATGGTCTCGCTAAGTTTACGATTTCCGTTAGATAACTTTATTTTCGGCTCGAGACCTTAATCTAGACGGCCGTGTTCAATATATAACATTTGCTTCGTTGTGTTCGATGCGGCGTCGCTTACAAAGATTTTGATAAAATATTATAATTGCCCGTCAGGCTGACAGAGCATACATATCGACTTTAAAACTTCATATGAAGTGCCACATACTCCTACTTATCAGTGTTATTTGTATCCAGTAACAGTCATAAAAGTTTGACCTTGTGCTTCATAAGCCTAATAAGAAAAAATTCTCAGATCAAACCGAGGCCCTTAAGAATATTCTATTGAGTCGCTTTGTAGGACACAACTTCAAATAATCATGCATATCCATTCACCCGTCAATATTAATCAATAGCCAGTATGATATTTATTGACTGATGCGCTTTTTGTACGCTTCCCAGCCAGCCGCCATATACTCTTTAGCGGCTGCCGCACAATCTAGAGCCTTGTGGACACCACGGCCCACTATAATGATATCGCATTTGCGCTCTCGGATGACCAGATCCGGCGTGTTGTACTGCATGAATCGTAGAAGTGGCAAGATATAGAATGTTGAGCATGATATTCGGATCATACTACACTGGCTTGAGAGGTTGCAACAACGAGATTTGAGCCAAAATGGGGCCTAATTTGGACCACTCGACTATGAGATCGTTGAATGTTCCCCTCGCGCGAACATCGATGGGAAGATGTAGCTCGTAAATTAGTTGCAACAAATTCATATGGTAGTTCTCAGACAGTTTCAAGTCGCGTATCATGCTGTCTACTGTACCTCCTGGCAATACAAACAGCATGCTTTTGACAACTATGTATACACAACGTGTTTACACAAGAGCGGACGGGCAAAAGGGGCAGGATTGTGGACTGTCATTCACCATAAAACCTCTTGCACGTTGTACATATCTATTTATATGTTACGCCAGGCCCCTTCTAGATGTCACAGCAATCCGCAATAGAACTCTAGGTACAAATACGAGATCATGCAGACGATATAGGAAACGAGAAGGCATTTCTCAAACACAATCAACTCACAATACGTACAATGCGCAAGCGCTAGATACGACAACCAAATTGACTCGATTCGTGCGCATGTAAAGGCCTGTGTATACACACCTGTTGTCCCAGCGCATCCGTGCCTGCATTCAACTGCACACCGGAAGTCATGTATATGAGCGACGGATCTTCCGGCACTAAGCAGTCCTGTGAGTGAATCCGAACACAAAGTCTTTGTTTGCTTTGGCCATCTGGACGGCCTGTGATGCGTACTCGGGCGATGTAAGCGCCCCTTGTGAACTGTACCGAGAACATCCGCAACACATAACAACATGAGGCAAAATGTGAAACTTCGGCAAATAAGGGATTCGATGGTGGCTAGAACAGCGTTAATTTGCCCCCATGTGGGAGTGTGATATTGCACACCATGCAACTGGGCGCTATGGGCATACATACATAAGTAATAGCGGCCGATCAAGATGTTTTATGCACCAATGTTCAACGAGGTTCTCATACTAAAGCTAAAGAAAGCAGCACATAGCGGACAAACGACATGAACTTGTTCTTTGTGGCACTGTACAAAGCGATGTATACTTGGTCAAATCACAGGCTGAGCGTATATATGAACCAATATATCGTTTGCTCGGACACCTATGACCCAGACGCTTTACATGTGGGTCGCATATCTTCCGAGTGTTCTTGCACAGCGGAGAACAAAATCAAGAAACATTACTCGCAAGATTTACAACTGGAACTATTGAAGCAATACTCATACCAGACTCGTACAGCACATGTGCGTATACACACCTCATCTGAGCTAGCAGCAGTAACCCTCGGCCTAAGGGCTTCCCCACTTGCCTCAGACCATCGACGATACCGGGGCCAGGAATAGGATACGCATTGGTATAGTGTGTCCAGGAAGCTGTTGCCTGTAGAAGGGACAATTTAGTACATGAAGTATTATTGAGTGTGCCAAGAAAAGGATATGGAATGACCTCGTTGGTATGGTATACTGACGAGTTGCCTGGAGCAGGGATGATCAGTATTGTAAATGATATTGAAATCCGAACAAAAAAAGCAGTATATGTGCCGTCTTCATATTGTTGCAATACCGTGTTGCTACCGTGTTGCCTGAAGTGTGTATATTACATATCTATATATATATATATATATATATATATATATATATATATATATATATATATATATATATATATATATATATATATATATATATATATATATATATATATATATATATATATATATATATATATATAGTATAT